TCAAACAAAAAATATTCGAGCCTTTTTTGTATTGTTGATTGAAATTGTATAATATATATATACGCTCAATAAAAAAAAAAAAAAAAAAAAAAAAAAAAAAATCTCTGTGTGTGTGTGTGTGTGTGTATGCATATATATATATATATATATATATATATATATATATATATATATATATATATATATATATATATAAATACATATTGTTCAGTTTGTATTGTTCATGTATGACAGTGCTATTTCTTTTCTTAATGCAATAAAACAAAGACACATCTAAAAGAAAAAGGTGCTATATGAATAATTTTCTCATTTACTACCTTATATAAATGATCGGTTAACCTACATCTTTATGTGATATATTACTATTTTATATTATCTATAATATTATATGAATCACATATTTTTGCATCAATGAAGCATCCTAGTAGCTAGACAAAAAAGTAAATATTAGTAAATATTATATTTCCTCTTTGCAGTTTTTAACACTTCAGTGTCAATATATGCAGCCATTTATGCTAATATACTAATTTATTTTGAGAATATGCAGCAATTCTGACTTTATAACTCATTTATTTTACAAATATCTCACAGTTCTGATTGTATAACTCATTTGATTTAAGAATATCTCACTATTCTGATATTATAACTCATTTATTTTAGGAAATACCCACAATTCTGAATTTTTTTACTCATTAATTTTATGTATAGCCCACATTTTTGAGTTTATAACTCATTTATTTTACAAATATCCATAAATATAAAATATTTATTTTATGAATATCCAGCGATTTTTATTTTATAACTCATTTATTTTGAGAATATTTCACAGTTCTGACTTTATAACTATTTTTTTTAAGAATATACCGCAATTCTGACTGTATAACAAATTTATTTTATTAATATGCCACAATCCTAACTTTACAACTCATTTATTTTAAGAATGTATTACAATTCTGGCTTTATAACTAATTTATTTTAAGAATATCTCTCAATTCTGATATTATAGCTCATTTATTTTAAGATTATCTCTCAATTCTGATTTTATAGCTCATTTATTTTAAGAATATCTCACAATTCTGACTTAATAACTAATTTATTTTAAGAAAATCTCACAATTCTGACTTTATAACTCAAAATTATGCTAAAAATATATCACAAACCTCACATGTATGACTTTAACTCAATATGTACTTATATTAGTATTTTATAAATCTTTTTTAATGAATGATTAACGTGTTAGATTAACGATATTAAATTTTATGATTAATTATTAGCTTATTAGTAACATTATTATACGTTTTAATGTATGAAGCTTAACATTACAAGATTCAACGCTAGTAGCTAGGGCAAACACCTAACATTCGTTCTTAAATACCAAGAGTCAAGATTAATAACTGTAATATTTAGCAGATTAAATGATAGTGACTTTGACCTCTGTGTAAAAAAATATTGTAAAAATCATGTATCTTGTACATGTAATATCAATGACACTTCTGTAATGTCACGTTAACATGTAACATTACCTTATTTGCAAAATTATGTTTCACTGAATAAAGCACACATGATTCAATAACAATAGCTAAAGCATGCATGCTAAATACATTTTAACATATAAATATATTTAGTTTATTAGATCCATAGCAGGTTTATTTAGCAAGTAAACACACGTTAGCTCACCGAATTTGATCAACAAAAACGCTACAGCGTAACTTACAAGCGCTATTTCACTGACATAAACATGTCTGAAATCATTTACTCACGTTGAAACTCGAGCTTAAGCCGTCCGAACTGCAAATATTTCTTAAACATTAGCGAACTAATGTTATTCATAATAAAAATTAAGCGTTTGTTTGCATAAACACACACACATGCTAAGCTTCCTCAACCGCCGCGCTACACGGCAAAGTCCCGCCTTCTCTACGCGCTGACTGGATGAAACTCTGTAAAGCGTACACTCATTGGTTAAACCCCAGACACGTGGAGGCTCTCTCTGTAATTTCATTGGATTAAACTTGACATGCGCCGGCCACATTATGACGTACTCGCTCATATACCCTGACGATAAGAACAGCGTCCGCTAGCGGCGATAATTATTCTCATAACTCCACAAATACATCCATAACAAGCTAACAAGTCCATAACATCCTATATATTCTCTCAATTATTAACATTCCTCCCTATAAAACACGTCCAAGGTGACTCCAGATGCATACTTCAGTATTTATGCTTGTTGTTAGCATGGAGTATGCTAAATTTTTGATTCACCCGACAGGCTAGCTTCCAACTCGGCTCATTTGTTATTTATAATTCGTCTAGTATTGTTTTGGTTAATGGCTCTGAATACATTAGCAAGAATAGTGCTGCTACCAAATGAACTTTTAACATTCACATGCAGTCGATGGATGTGAGGAAGAAAACAGGCCGCGTCTCTGCGCCCGAAGGGAAAATGAAGTCGAAACTTTCTGACAGTAAAGCAAAAGATGTCCCTGAACACCAGGAACAACAACCCTATTCAGGTTCGAACTTCCCCTGTGGCTTCTATGAGATATGCAGATGCTTTGAACACATCCACAAGCTACATCTGTTTGTGGTCAAGCCCTACATTATTAATCTCGACAAGTCCTTTTTCCCCCCAGTTTTTTTGGACCGCAGCCGAGGGAGAATCCATAAGTGTGTGCAAGTCTGAGGGCCCGAGTCTCCTGAAAGGCAAAGCTGCAGAAATCTCATTAATATCTGAGGGTGAGACACCACTGCTGGTGAATACAAACACAAACACCTGCCTTTCCTTGAGTGATGGCTCTCACGGCGAGAATGAAAGGGCCCGATCTTCTTATTTTCCCAGCGTGTGGAAAATCTGAGCAGTTTTTTTTAAGGCCGAAGCCCCCACAGTTGCTTGGATTCGTGACTAAGTTAATTCAGCGGCCATGCAGGAGGGTTTGATAGGATTAATTCGTTTATAGAGTCTCTCATGAAATAGAGAGTCCCACGTATGCACTGTGTTGAACTAGGAGATAGAGACTCGTATTACTGGGACTTTATACATTTACATAAGTCAAGAGGCATAAAAGGTGAAGGGTTTATATTTAAACTGTCTTCATCTCTTCTGGAATCTAATAAGGGAGAGGTGTGATTAGATTTCTGTGTGCGCTGTAAATCGTGAGGGGATTTTTGATAATCCTATTGAGAGTTTTGGAGTCTTATGGTCTGTTTGTGTTGGATCTTTAACACACTGTTGAGTCTGTTCTTTTGCAGACTCGTTTTAAGTCTAGATATAGGCTACGTTTATAAAATGATCTTCTTGAAATTATTTGCTTTATAGACAAATTTCATCAATAGTTTCAATATAAACTTTGACTAAAGTTTGTTTCTGTTACTGAATTCTGACGTCTTTTTTTTTCTTTCTCAGAATTGAAATGTATAAACAGGCAACTGTTTATAGGTTAAAACTATCAGATGTATAATCACAATTTTGACTTTTTAATTTAAAAAAAAATATATCTGACATTTCATACTTGCATTTATGTTAAAATGTCCTGCAATTCTCCCCTTATAACTCATTTATTTTAACAATATCTCATAATTCTGGCATTATACGTCATTTAATTTAAGAATATCATGCATTCCTACTTTATAGCTCATTTGTTTGAAGAATATTTCTAAATACTGACTTTATAATTCACATTTATGTATAAAAATGTCACAATTCTGACTTTATAACTTATTTATTTTAAGACAATTTTACATTCTGACTTCATAACTCATTTATTTGAAAAACAAAATGCCGCAATTTTGACATTATACTAATTTATTTTATGAACATATAACAATTTTGGCTTTATAATTTACATTTATGTTAAAATATCTCACAATTCTGACTTTATAATTAATTTATTTTAAGAATATCTCTAAATTCCGACTTTAGACTCATTTATTTTAAGTATATCTCTAAATTGTGACTTTATAATTCATTTATTTTAAGAATATTTCACAACTCTGACATTATACTCATTTATTTGATGAATATATTACAATTCTGACTTTATAGCTCATTTATTTTAAGAATATCTCACAATTCTGACTTTATAACTTATTTATTTTATAAATATCTCACAATTCTGACTTTATAACTAATTTATTTTAAGAATATATCACATTTCTTACTTTATACTCATTTATTTTAAGATTATATCACTTTTCTTACTTTATAATTCACATTTATGTGAAAATATCTCATAATTCTGACTTATAACTCAAAACTGTGATAAAATATATCACTTAAATATAAAAATACATAT